ATTTTAAATCGTTAAGAAATTATTGGAGCTTAAAGTGAAATGACCAAACTTAAGGACAAAGAATAGTCCTAGCTGTTTACTATGAACTTATCATCACAGTCATTGAGTCAACATTTACTAGACATCTGGGTAACAGACTCTGAGCTAGAACAACAAAGCTGTAGACTGTAAATCGTATATTTAATAAAAGACTTCCTTCCACAACATAAAAAGCTGAAAACTCAATTTAAAGCCAGCCACATTCAAAATTTTACAAAAAGCTGCAAAATACATCCTAAGTACATATTTGTTTGTCAAATTAGCACATGAAAATGTGTTCGGCGTAGTGCCAGGGTAATACACAGGAAAACCACAATGAGATGCTGTTATCTTCTTTGAAAGACACACATTAAGAAGACTGATAACATAACAGATATTGGCTTAAAAGTGAAAGACACCAAATTCCCACATACTGTTGATAGGAATGAAAGCTAGTAAATATTGAAAAGCAGGTAAGAGCATCTGAAAAAGATAAGCATATGTCTACCATATGAGGCAGACATTTACCCTGGTCATTCGCCCACGGAAATGAGTAGATGCTCATATAAACACATATTGAACTGTACATACAGGATCTATTTATTATAGCCCATACTAAAAACACTCAATGAATTAATGCATAAACTGTGCTTTACTCAAATGAATTATCGATATTTCCTAGAACAGAATTACATCTTAAATAATTGTACTGAAAAAGCCAGGCTAATACAAGCTTATACTCTATAATTTCCTTTATATAAAATTTTAAGATGTACAGAAAGAAGTTCAGTGACTGTTAAATGAGAAGAAACAACAGAGGATGTTTCTATGGGGCATGAGTTAATTTTGAGAAATAAGGTTTATGTTGATTATCTTGATTGTGATATTGACTTCAAAGTGTTCAATATGTATGGCTTATTATACATCAATTATCTGCAACAAAACTCATAACAAAAATGTGGTTGGTGTTTCAATATGTTATTCACAATGATCTGCTAGGTCTTCTTACTTGATCAAGTTATATCTAAGGGTGGGGGATCATTCCAACTGATAGACTAAAGCAAGGTGCAGCACCTCTACAGTCCAATCCTTTAACACTGATTTTTATTTTGAGGGAGTGATCCTGAAAAGTCTTTGAAACAAAGTTTAAGCAAATATCTAATTGTGTGGTGGGTAGCATGCTATGCAATTTCCCTAATAATATTACACTTAATTAAAGCATTGTCACTGCTGCTCTTTCTCAGAATAGAAACTAAGATGATCTGCTATTCAAAAGAGAAAAATGTCTTCTTGCTTAAATTGGACTTCATTTTGCTACCTTAACTTACCCACACGGCATGAAAAATATCTCATTTCATCATTACTGGGGTGCATTTCATTTAGAATAAAAGGCTAAAAGAAGTTTTGGATAGGATCAAAGAAAACACTTTCCCTGTAAAACCCACACTGTATTTTAATATTCAGCTTTCATGTCAGGAATCATGAATAAAGGGTTCCTCGGTAAGTCTCTTGTTTATTGGGTTGGGAAGCTGCTTTCTCATAAAGTTATTTCATCCTGGAAACCAATTATTGAGTATATATCATAAGAAAGATGTGCTTCACTGTGATGGTTTAATGAGAAATGGTTCCCACAGGCTCATGCATTTGAACACTTGGTGGTGCTGTTTGGGGGACCATGGAAGCTTTAGAAGTAGCCACCTTGCTTGAGGGAGCACATCCCTGGGGACAATTCTGGATCGTGTATATCCTGACTCACTTCCAATTCTCTCTCTGATTGGTATTTGTGGTCCCTCTGGAACTATAAGCCAAAAAAAAAAAAAAAAAAAAAACCACCACCACCACCAACCCTCCTTCTTCCATAAGTCACTTTTGGTCATATGTTAAAAGTAAGTAATACACTCACAAAAATAGGAGTTTAGTCCAAATTAAAAGTAAAATGAATAGACATTAAGAATTAAATTGAAATTGATAATTTCATATCACACGATTGCATGCATCTTACCTTTGTGGCAGAAGAGAAAAACACTGAGTTACCCATGGCAGATCTCATGCTTTCAACTTACATCCCTCTGTACCAATCACCAAACCCCATGTGCTTTTTATTGATTGAGTAATATATAATGTACAACAGTAACTATTAAATGCTCTTAAAAGATAGCCTGGAGCTATGTTTATGTCTATGAAATGGTTTCCTAGATTTAGGCACTTAGATATAAATAATGCTTTTAACATTGGCAACTGAGAGAAATTTAGTACAGGCCAAAAAAAAGAAACAGAAATTTGTGTCTGGTAGGTATGAAGTTTCTTCCAGTACATTATATGTAGATGTTCTTGACTAAAGGGAGAAAGAACAAACATTCAAGTCTCCTGTGTGCTGCAGGGTTCATGAAGCACTGGTAATAGAAGGAATGACAGTTATTCAGATCCTGGATTCTAGTCTAATTTCCGGTTATGCTGCTTATAAGCTAGTTGGTCTAAGATACATGACAAATTCTTTGAGATTTTTCTTCCTCATATCTACACAACTGGCAAGAAAGCACTCTGGCTTAAGCACTTGAGGCAGTTGCTATGAGACTCAAAGAGCAAACATAGGTAAAAGTCTTTTACAAATTGTAAAAAGCCACATATGCATTTGGACTAGCTATTTACCAGTCTGACTCCTAGAAGACAGCTGAAATTTAGAGTAAAAAGAATTCCATCAGGAAAAAGGAAACAGATTTAAACTTGAGCTCTTGCCCAGGGAAACTATGTGTTATTTAATAAAGCATGCACTTTCTTCATCACAGTTTTGCAGGACCCTCCATGCTGATTCCAATAGTGGCTGGACAAACTGATTTTCCCATCAGCAGCATATGAGGGCTCTCTTTGCCTACATCCTTGTCAATATATGATATCTGTTTTCTTTATGATGACCATTCTAATCCCAGCTGTACCACTCCGAGATATGTACTCCAATCACTTAAGTTAACATACCACAGATATAGCTGCACATCCATGTTTATGGCAGCACGATTCACAGGAATGTTAGTTACAGAATCAGCCTAGATGCCCATCAATAGCTGAATGGCTAGAAAATATAGCATATACACACAGTTCACTTTGATCAGCCATAGAAAATGAATTTCGTCATTCATTGGAAAATCCATGTAAATGGGAAATCATTATATGAAGTGAAATAAGTCAGACCAAAAGACAGTATCACATGCATTCTTTCATTTATAGATCCTGATTTTATATACATAATAAAAAACAAATATATAGGGATAGAAAGGATAGGGTATAGGGCATGAACATGGTCAAAGTGTACAATATACTTAAAATAAATTAACTTTATGAGACGTAGTGCTGGAGCAACATAAGTGTCCCTCAACTGATGAATGGTTAACAAAAATGTGGTTTATTTGCACCTTGGAGTTCTATTCAGCAGTAAAGAAAGAAGAAATAATGAAATTTGCAGGTAAATGGATGGATTTAGAAACTGTTATACTAAGTGAAGTAACAGACTCAGAAAAACAAATGACATATGTTCTCCCTCATATGTGGCTCCTAGCACCAAATCCTTTTAAATTCCAGGTCCTGTTAATAAGATGATGCTATACAGCAGTTCCTTCTGCATGAAATAACTACCATCATCACGACTTTGGGTGAGCACGATCACTAAACATAGTCACAATTGGGCTTGTTGATGGTTGTGGTCATTCATTAAAGGAGGCCAAGCAGGTTCACTGGACCCTCACCTGAGTATCTCATCCCAACCAACTAGTCCAGCCTTGGAAGACAAAAGAAAAAAGAGAAGAACCCAATAGAGGGATGCTTTTGGAAGCCCTTGTCAAGAAACTCCAATGGACTCTCATGAACATTTGAAAATTGCCGTCCTGACTTTTTTCTAGTTCCCTGTCTAGAACTTGTAATGCTAATTACTCTTGCCTTTACTTCTCCTTCACATCTCCTATTCATGATTCAAGGACTTTGTTTTCCTCTTAGAGACAAAAGTTATGCAATTTGGGAGTCTTTTAGATAGACCCACTGAAGGGGTACTCCAATTGCCTCACCCTGCGTCCCTGTTTAGCATGGAAGAAGTGAGAACGGTAGGCATCCCTATTCCTTATTGGCAATTTGGGTAACCCCTTCAGAGGATGGCATAAGAATAGGAGGTAGGAATTGGCGAGGCAGTTAGGGTAAAAAGACCCCAAAGAAATGTAGCCAGTTTCTTGGCTAAAAGTTAAAATGTCCTTGGGCCTGTTAGCAACATACTCTGTTCCAGAGGCCAAAAATATCAAAATGTCAATAAAAGTATTTTGGAGCTTGTATCTAATCCTTAAAATATTTTAGGGTTATCTCTTCAGAGGAGGGAATGTTGGGGGGAGGAGTGGGCATGGATTTGATCAAAACATCTTCTATGCACGTATGAAATTCTCAATAAAGTTTTTGTAAAAGTTAAAAAAACAAAAAAAGATGCCTGACTTCCCCTGCTCGTTGCTGTTTCTCTGCTTCCCGAGAGGCAGCCCAGTGGTCTGTTTGCTCTCAAATAAACTGGTGCCCCCGGCAAGAAAAGTGCAAATGAATAAAGAAAGCATGCACTCTGCCTAGATTTCAGCTGCTCACCTATCAAAAGTTAAAAATCTCAAATGATATATTAAAAAGCATATGCTTAAGTGTCTGCACTTTTTGCAGAATCTCAGAGATTATGCCAAATTCATTTTTTTTCTCCTAGATGTTTTCATTTTAGAACAGGAACTTAACCTTGGAGGGAACTAAGGCTGGTTTCAGACTCACGTGCTCATCCGTAAAATGCTATTCATAGGTATTTAAGGACCAAGACAAGTTAAAGAGCTTTGGCACACCCTTCAGTAAATGATTAATGTGTTTCAAAGTTACTGATCCAGTTCCCCTAGCTTGTAATTCAAGAACACAGTGGTATTCCCACTGCTCAGACATTAAGAAGCGTTTCCGATATCCACTATGAAAACCGTTATCCCTACCTGAAATGGCTGCCTGCTGGAAATGCTGAGGTCTTTCCTTATCCATCTGTTGCCTCGGTTCCCAAATATCTGCCACAGCCGCTGGCCCCTGGAGTTGCTCCAGACTCTCTGGTAGATGGCTAACCGATAAATACGCTTCCCGAACATGTGGTAGTGCAGGCGGAAGGTGCAACCATCCGCTTTGGTGGCATTAAGAACTGGGCTGAGCAAAATGGCTTTGTCTTGGAAAACCTGTGGTTCAGAAGTTTCTATGTAGAGGTAGTGTCCTTTAGCTGTGCCCAAAGTGTGATCCTTCATCGGGCCTGTGTCAATGGTTGAAGTTGGACCCTGGTTCCTGGTCCAATCGAAGTTGTCTTCTTTACCTTGTTCCCAGTTACACATGCCACTTTCAAAGTCACACTGCAGTTCAGGTGCTGAAATTGACATGAAACAGTATCAAAAGAATGCTGAGACAAAATAAATAGATTAAGAGCACAAACTCATACTTAGCACACACCCAGCTTAGCTGTAGTGATTTTAAAATGTGACATTAAAACACAGTTTCAGAAGGGGTGAATAACCCCATAGATAGCAATTAGTATTTCATGGGCTGAAGATGAATTGCTGGACCTTTATCGTCTAAGTCTTGCTAATGCTTGTCCCTTCTTTGCTTCTAACACCATGACCCCAGGCTATGACTCCATGGCTGCTTCACCATGACAAACTTTGGGCTCAGTGAATTTCAGCCTTAGTTGAATGTGCCAATCGCCAAGGGATATCAAAAAACGAACAGAGGGTGATGAACACAAAAGGTCACAAATGGCCAAAGTGTAGCAACTAAGAGTCTGCAGAGTGTGGGTTCCTAGACAGGACTCCTATATTAAACTTCACCCACTCAGGGTTCAGGGACCATTGCAGAAGTGGAGGAGGAAAGGTTGTAAGAGCCAGGGGAGGAGGTGCATGACCTTAAGGAAACAGCCACTTACAGACTCCTGGGACCTTGCTCATATGAACTTAGAGCAACGGTGTCAGCATGCACAAAATCCACACAAACTCAATCAGACAAAAAATAAGAATAAGAATAAAACCAGCATAGAACTAGAACTGGGGAAATGGACAGTAGGCCCTAAGCTTAGCCAAAGAATTATTGGCAGTTGTTTACTGCTGGGTGAGGAAAGAGGTTATCTTCTTTAAGGAAGAGATGCAGGGCTGGAGAGATGGCTCAGCAGTTAAAAGCACCGGCTGCTCTTGCAGAGGACCCAGGTTCAATTCCCAGCACCCACATAGCAGGTAACAACCATCTGTAACTCCAGTTCCAGGGGATCCAAGCCCCTCTTCTGACCTCCATGAGCATTGCATAATATGGATACACTCACATGTATGCAGGTAATATACATTTGTATACAAAGATAAAAATAATAAATAAAATATTTTTAAGGAAGAGACCCAAGATAGACTGACTAGACGCCCAGTGGATGAACCTTCACTGAGAGACATCTGGGTATACTAACTTGACTTGATAAGCCTTAACATATATGATAGAATACATGAAATACAGTGGGAGGGCTATAGGGGGGTGAGGATGGGGAGGGAGTATACTGATGATTAAGATTTTTTTTATGAAATGCACAAATATTCAATAGAAAATACATTAAAAAATGAACAAACAAAACGACCAGAGCTCAGAAGTCACACCTGAATTGTTTATTTCATTGGTCCAAATATTAAAGCCATATATCAGGATTATTTTTTGGTGTGTGCTTTTGTTTGCGTGTAATGTATGTACCTGTGTGTTCCTGTTTTGTATGCATGTGGGCATCATGTGGGGACACGTGCTTATATAGAGGCTGGAGATGGTAGCAGGTGGTATCCTGCTCAATTGATTCCTACCTTATCATTTTTTGGTGTAGTTGTATATGTGTGTGTGTGTGTGTGTGTGTGTGTGTGTGTGTGTGTGGTCAATGTGCACATGTGTGCACATATAGCTTATGTGTATGTGGAAGCCAGAGGAAAGACATCTGGTATCTCCCCTATCGTTTCCTGCCTTGTTCTTTTGAGGCAGGATCTCTCTGGCTGAACCTGTAGTTTGTGTTTCAGCTAGACTGTCATCTAGAGATGCCACCGATTCTCCTGTGTCTGACTCTCTCCATGCTGGGGTTATTGGCACGTATAAGAATCATGCCAAGTACCTGGGTTTAGGTGCTGGGACCTGAATTCCTGCCCTCACGCATGCACAGTAAGCAATCTGCACTTCTGTGCCACTGATTCAACCTTTCCCACCTTATTTTGGGAGAGTTTCTCACTGAACCTGTTACTCACCAATTGGTCACACTGGCTGGCAAAGGAACCCCATCCTTGCTCCTGTACCCCCTTACTCCCAGTGCTAGGGTTACAGATGTAACTAGACTTGACTTTTTCTGTGGATGCTGGAGATTTGAACCCAGGTCCTCATGCTAGTGTGGCACACATGCTCCCCGTGGAGCCATCTCCTGACTCTCTGCATCACTATTCCATAAGCTCCTTTAGTGATTGCAGCAGAGCTGATGGCAGCAGTTCTCCAACGGTCTCCAAATTTCAGAAGCTCCTGAGATGATGGCAATATTGCTTACTTCATTGTGAACCCATCAAACAAACGTCAGTTTATTAGACAAAGTCCACATTTCCCCAAATACTCAGACGATTCTGATAAAAAGTCTTACTCTAACTCTTCTCCCTGGCCCTTCCTGCTCCAACTGCAAACGCTTCTGAAAGCAGAGCCCAATGGCAATCCTTCAGTGGCAGTATTACCATGCCCTTCTTGGAGCATCCCCATTCTATCTAAACTGTTAGCTCAGCTCCAAGTTAGTGGCTTTTGGGTCTACCTCACCCCTCTTCCCCTCAGCCTACACTCGCTTACCTATCTGTGCTGAACACTACCACTTCCTCCACCTCCATTTTTGCCCAGTGATACAGTGTGTGTCTTGTTGACTCTTTGCTGTGTTTCATCAATGGTGACCTTTTCCTCTAGACCTTTATTTTAGTAGTACTTAGTATATATGTTTATACAAAATGATGCATTTCAATGTGACATTTACATACATGGATATAACACATTTAAGTCATAGCTACTCTCTTCTAGTACCCTAGTTGACCTCCTTCCCCTGAGTACCCTCCTTTTTTCTAATAGTCCCTACACAGCATCCATTAGGTTCCACACATGACAGAAAACATGCTATACTTGTTATCCGAATCTAGGTTACTTCACCTAACATGATGGTCTCGACTTTAATCAGTTTTCCTGTAAGTTACATGATTTTGTTCTTCGTGGCTGAGCAGTACACTATTGCCTCTATGTACAACCTTAGGTTTATTCATGTTTCCTCTGATGAACACTAAGGCTGAATCTACAACTTGACTCATGAATAAACATAGCTATACAGGAGTCTCCATTGTACATTCTGATTCCTTCGGGTGTATTCCTTCCTTAGTATTTATTATAACTAGATCGTATTTTTTTAGTATCTTTAATATTTTGACAAAAGCTATACCAATTTTCACAGTGACTGCACTGAGTACATCCTCACGACAGTCTATAACTGGAGCTGGGGCTTTTAAATTTCTGGCATCCTTCAGTTACAGCATGACAAATTTATAAAGAATTGGCCAGGCCCTTAACAATTAAACACTCTATTTCGGGGATAATATTGGAGCACGCTCATTTTTCAAGAAATGAGGACTTTGTTGATACCAGATTTTTGCTTTAGGATAAATTCATAAAACAATCATTTGGAAGTACTGGGTCGATGAGACAGGACTTAGAATTCACAGGTATTTCCACATTTTAGCTCCATTTACATAAGTTAATATTAAAAAACTAAATGTCAGTTGCCTTCAACTACTCATCTTAGTAATGGTACTTGGCGCCAAAGGCGAGCAAACACCCTGAACAATAAATAAAAGTTCAGTTGAGTCAGTGCAGGCAGGCGAACACACATCATCTGTCTGCACAGCCCAGAACAGCTCAGACCTAATGAAGGGAACCGAGCGAACAAGTGTCAACAGAGAGATGAGCTTTCATCTGATGTCTCCTCACTTGTGACTAATCAAGCCAGCTGTGATGTGAACGGGGGACACACAAGGGTACTCCCCAGGTGTCACTCTTTGCCGTGGAGCAGAAGGAGGATGTCAGCTTACTGAGTTTTTGACATAAAAAGGACACCTAAGCCAGCAGGTTTTACATTGGCTGCCTTCACACTGACTCCAAGCTCCATCTTCATCCCCAAAGGGAACCTAGGGAGCTCCACCCTTCAGCAGAGGACCACATCTCCCAGCATCTTGCAGGAAATATGATTTGGATGTCTGGGTGCCTAACACATATTATGAAATTAGGCAACATCTTGCTGGGTGGCCCTGCTCTCTCTTTGCACTAATATAAAATCAAGAAGTTGATATTATGTTTACACTACTGTATTCAATTATACCAATTTCAAGATGCTTGAAGAATAGCCAGTTTATCAACCGATTAGCAGTTTTTTAATTGATTAGGATTAAGAGAATTTAAGAAAAACTAAAAAAGCTTTGTAAATTAGCAAAAAAAATTAAAATTTTAAGACAATTTACACCACATATGATGGCAACTGTCAAAATCAATGTTAACCCTATCCACTCAAATATGAGCTGTGTAAGATGTACAGTTATAGGAATGCTTATTCTGACTTTAACATATTTTTGATAATGTATACTAATGATCATATGCACACACAGCTTTCTACAGTGATGTATCTGGAAATTTCTAGTAGAAAGAAGGTTTCCTCTGAGGTCTCGGCTTTCTACAGCTCAGTTTTGATTTTCAATTAGATCTCTAATTTAATAAACACATGGTTTGAAATTTATAAATAATTATTTTTCAACAAGGAATTGATGTCCAAGATTGATGCAGACACTTTCTGTGACAGATTTTTCTAATAAAAAAAATACTATTAGTGTCTAATTCATTTTCAGATATAAGTCCATTATACCATGCTGGAAGGAGCCTTAAGACACCATTAACTCTTTGATGATTAAAAGCAGAAAACCAGGACTTGACTGACTTTTGGCAATTCATTCTCTATTCCTGAAAGAAAAAACATAATCAGTGTTCCTCCTAAATACCTCCCCCGAGACTCAGGCCTCATGTCAAGGTAGTTCGTTGCCAGCCATTCTCCAGGGGCAACTACAATGTTCCCTAATAGGTCTCCTACATTTGCTGTTCTCGAACCCACTGCTTATATCATGCCCACCAGGACATTTCTAAATGCGCCAATTTTGTAATGGCATCGCCTCCCCAAAAATCTTTGAAATAAAGAATATTTCTTCAGTGTGGATCACAAAGACCATTGTGACTCCAGCCTCCCGCCTCCCCCCAGCCCCATTTTGTGTCCTCTTTCATGCCCTCGCTCCAGGTCTGCCAGCTTTCATCTGTATCACAAGTCACATTTCAGAGCTTTGGAACTTAAGTGTGACCTGACATTTTTCATATCTCAGCTAAATCATCACCTGAAGAAAACCCAATGTTATATAAAGTCACACCCACCCTCTCCTCGTAATTTCTATCACAGCCACCATTATGTATTTCTTTAATAAATATTTGAGTAGTTAGCTCCTCAGTTAAACTGTGAGGCCTAGGAAGGCAGAAACTCTGTTTTCTTCCTTCTCAACACATCTCTAGGAGCTAGTAAATAAATCTTCTTAAGACTGACATCTGGGGCTGCCAAGATGGCCCAGCAGGTAAAGGCACCAAGCCTGACAACCTGAGTTCTATCCCCTGGACTCACATGTAGGAGGGAGATAATCAATTCTCACAAGTTGTCTTCTAACCTCTACACATACACTGTGTCATGCAATGCACGCACACACACACACACACACACACACACAAGTATGTAGACACATAGGTAAATAAAATGTAATAAAAAATTGAATGATAATAAAAAAAGAAAGCCTGACATCTTGGTTTATTGGATTAAGTAACCTCACAGTATTCATCAACTTTGGAACTATGTGTCAGTCACTGGTTTGATTGATTTAAAAAGCAGTGAGCTAATTAAGTTCACCACTCCCTCAACAAGTAAGAGGGGGCTAAACATAGAACCCTCCCCCAAGAAAAACACCAAAATTCTTACTGCAGTTATCCTCATCGGAGCCATCTCCACAGTGATCCACCAGGTCACAGAGGTACTGCCTTCCTATGCAAGCCTTGGTCTGTCCACACCAGAAGTCACCTGGCCCTTCACAGCGCTCAGCAGGAGGAGGAAGATCACAGTTTTCAAATCGGATGTCATCCACAGCAGAGACACCTCTGTAAACTCCCAGACTGATTTTGTCTAGTGACAGGTGGAAGGGCTGAGTGAGACGCCCTAGCTGGACAGTAGCCTCTGACCATTGGTTGCCCTGGTTATACAGCACTCTCCAGAGGGCTGTGGAGTCACTGGAGTTTTCTAGATGGAGCTGTAACTCAGCTGCCCCCACTGACACACCATAGTTATAAAACCTGGAAAACAGCATAAGGAAAGGAAGCATTTTATGAGCTACTCAATAATTAACCTTTGGACTCTTCCAGTCCTGTGAGCCGATCAATAATTAGTTATGATAACAGGCACATTTCTTTTCTGCAGTAATTGCAGCTTTCCATTTGTAAGAGTTTCTTGACTGGGGTGCATACTCCGGAGGCTCTCACAAACCTAGGAGCTTCTTACAAAACACAGGGAGGAGCACCTTTCATCTAAGAAATAAGATAACAAATACTGGTAACATATTCTTAAATGAAAAATTGTTTTTCAGTGCAGTAACTGCTATAAAGTACAACCAAGGGTAAAATCAGAGCAACTAGCTCATAACAGTCTACGCCTGTAGCCATCATTGTACTGGGACAACTCATCATTGGTTATAATATTTACCAGAATGACAGTGTGCATCCAGGCCCCGTCTGGCTGAACGTTGGGCTCTGGAGTTTACCAATTTGAGACAAGCTGCTGCTCTTTTTCAGGATGAACATGAAATGCCCTGTGGAGATACAAACACATTAGTAACCTACTGCACTCCACAAGGAGGACTCTGTCTCTTGCCCATATGCCAAGTTAAGTTTCAGGTCCAAATAAAACTAAAACTATACAATAAAAGCAAGTCAACATCAATTGCTAGTGAAATCTGCTTTTACATATAACGGATTCTGCCTATATGTATTATTGACATGTAGGTTTAAATAATGCCAAAAGGCAAATGATCATTTCAGTTAATACAGGCAAAGACTTATCAATTGCCCATCATATCACTCATAAAAGAATCATTTCAGTATTGCCCTGCTGTTCGCTGCAATCCTCATCTCCTTGGGCCTAACTGAGCCATACACAAAGTACTTAAAGCTTCTTACCTTGTGCTGTGCCGTGGGTGTGATCCCCAGGTGGGGCCTGTTGCTCAAAATCTGCAGGCAGGTCACTTCTGGAGCTCCACACCCAGTCGAAATGGTCACCCCCGCTGGCTTCAAACCATCCACAGCTGTTGACTTCAAAATCGCAATCAGCCACTGAAGAACGAAAATGGGGCTCTTTAGATGGTGTCCACAGCGGTGTTCGGCTTTGAAAAGGTAGCACTCAAGTGGGAAAAGTCTGAATATGAAGTCATAGAAGGGGAAAGACCCTTCCCAATCCAACAAGGCAGGTATGCTCCACATATCAGAGACAGAGAAGGCAGAATTCTCAGTGTGAGAAATTTAAACGCTTTTCCAAATATTCTTTCTAAGACACAGCATTAATCAGCCATGTTTTTCATGGAATTGGCAACATTTGCCTACTTCATTCCAATACAAAATTTTCCTTCATTTAATATTGTTAGGAAAGCTCAACTGCATAGAGCATTTCATATTGTCATGAACTGCAATCATTTATTTAGAAATTGATATTTTTAAAAGCTTCAGATCCACCCCCTTTGTACATTGTGTACTCCTGATTTTTAGAAATGTTAGTATTTCAAGCATTATTATATGTATCAACTGATTTGTGTAGAAAAGAAAAAAATAGGACTTTTTCTGGGAAATATACCTGGAAATAAGTTCTTTCACAAAGACTTCTGGAAAAGGAAGGTAAAAAGAGGGGGACGAGGGAAAGAAAATAATGTTGTAATGGGTAATAACACAGCATTATAACTCATAGTTACTGAACACTTGCACAAGGGACTCTGTTGAATGCTTGTAGAATTTTACAAAAATTCTAGGCAATGGGTGATGGTACTGGTGTGAGTTTACAAAGGAAGAAAAGGAGTTTGGATAAGTTACTTAATTTAGTCAAGATCACTTTGTAACAAAAGTATAAAGTGGGATTAGAATTCGAATAGTTTAACTGAGGAGTGGCGAGGACCCGAGTTTGACTCCCAGCATGCACATGATGGTGAACAACCATCTGTAACTCCAGTTTCGGGGAATCTGACATTCTTCTCTGGCCTCTGTGGGCTTTGGACAACACGGGTGCACTGACATACATGCAGGCAATAATATTTTATGTTATGTATACTCATATACATAAAATATAAATAAATACATTAAAAATAAAATATTCAAATATTATGACTGAGTATTGAATATTCTTCCTACAAGAACTGGGAAAAAGCCTATTTGGGAGAACTCCAGACTACCCTGCTCAGAAATGGAAACAACCTAAATGTCCCTCCACTGAACACTGGATAATGAAAATGTGCTACATTTACACAATGGAGTTCTACTCAGCAGTAAAGAAAGACGCAGTCATCAAATCTGCAGATAAATGGATGGAATGAGAAACCATTACGCCAAGTGAAGTGACACCTCTTCAGAAAGACAAGTGACATAAGTTCTCTCTCATTTGTGGATCTGAGCACCAAATCCTTGTATGTGAGCACATAGCCTGAAATAACTGCAGGAACCAGGAAAATGGAAAGAAATCGTGAAGGAAAAGAAGGAGCCCAAGGCAGAGGAATAGTAAGAGAGAGGTGTTACCAAGTGGGACAATGGGGGAACAGGGATATTTAATTGGGGAAGGAGGAAGGAGAGTTATAAAATCATGGGGGTAAAGAGGAAGAAGGTGCCCAAGGTGAAGGTGGGGAATAGAAGACAGGTATTGTCAAGGGAGAAATGGGGAAAATGGAGGAACTTTAACTGAGAAAGGAAGAGGGATGTTAGACAAGGAGAAAGAAATAATGTTTAGATGGTATGAAAAACTAGAGGGAAATATAGTTGTTCAAAAGCCTACTGAGAAATCCACATATAATATCTGTACATGTACATATGTGTATAGCTGAAGGCTGTATAAGAAACACAGTGCCAGACAGGAGAAATCTCCCTTCCAGTTGTTGATCAGGGTAGTCCAAGAGACTCCAAAATAACACAGGCTATTATTGCTACAGCCCTTGAATTTCTCCCATAACTTAAAGTTAAAACTCTATTACTGAAGGCAGGACATACTTTGGACACAGGACTTGGAGCAATGGCGCTAGAACTGACCTGGAAGCCTCCCTGAAGACTGGCCCTCATAGTTTCAGAGGACACTATGCAAGCTGCTAAGGGAGAAAATAAATCAAAGGTCCAACTCCAGCTTTAAAGCCTAATAACCACACAATGTCTGGCACAGCAAACTGTATCCATGCAGTAGTGGCACGTTCCTCTTAGGGGTAAACAACAGCTACCTAACTGGACATAAAACCCATTCAATAGGAGGGAACATGTGTGTCCTGCTGTAAACATAGCCAAATACACATGACTGCAGAGGTCACCGATCCTATGTCTGTCACATCCCTAGATAAATGTAATTTCTTACTGTATGCTAAATATGCATCCTTATATTTACAGACAAGAATACCTGTTACCATTTAACAAAGAGGTTTCTTTCTGCAACAGATGGAGACTATTACAGAGTCCCTCAACTGATCAAATACAGAGAAAAACTTTCTGTGTGATTCTCAACCCTGTGTGGTACATCTACAAAACAACCTCTAGACTTCAGGTTCACGGAACTTGGTGGAATACGGGGTGGAGAGAATATTAACGCATCTCTCAACTCTTACCAGTGAAGCTTCCTCATGCAACAGAGTGCACTTAACACAGAAAGCCGCAACTGCCATATATTTAGAGAATAAGGGCCTAGAGAGTGTGTCCCTGGAGCAGACTCCTATATTAAAGTTCATCCACCCAGAGCTCAGGGACTGCTGTGGCACAGGGGGTATAAGAGCCAGGGATAGTGCATGATCATAAGGAAACAGTTTTCCAGGCTTCTGGGACCTTGCTCATGTGAACTTACAGCAATCGTGACAGCATGCACAAGACCCATGCAAACTCAGACCAGACGAAAACCCAGCACAGAACTGGGGAAATGGGTAAGAAGCTCTAACCTTAGCTGAGGAGCTATTGGCAGCTGATCACACTGCTGGGTGAGGGAGGGTTGGTCTTCTTTAAAGGAGTGAAACTAGATAGGCTGAACAGGCTCCAGTAGATGAACTCACACCAAGGAACATATGGGTACACAGAGTTGACTCAATAGGCTTTAACATATATGATAGAATCCATGAAATCTAGCAGGGGAGACTATGGGGGAGTATAGATAGGGGAGGGGTCTAAATATGATTAAAATATATTGTATGAAGTGCACAAAAATCAATAAAAATATATGTTGGGAAAAAAAGAAAAAATCCTATTGTCACTACATCGAAAAAAAGATAAATCAAAAAGGTATGATCTGGGTTTACTTATTATAATGTTCAGCCAGTGCAAAGTGAGGTTAATTTCCATTGGTCACTGATTATTCCACTGAGAGCTTCCACTGGCTTATTTTTTTCCAAGGATACAGTAATATATTGCATTGTCCCTTATAAAAAGGTGTTGGCAGGAAGGAATCATTTTGTGGATTAAAATATAAAGTAAATTGATAAATGAAATTATGAATTTTAGTAGGGGCATTTTAATCTTATGATAAATCAGCCTCAATTTTGAAAATGTTACTTCTACATGAGGACGTATATGAGTTCTACAAGTATCTTGTGTTTTACAGTTTCTCTAAAACAATCAAATTTCCTGTTCAAAATCTGACCAGCATTTCATTTTGAGTATCATAGAAGTCAATAGGAACTTGTGAGTATATATTTTTAAAGTGTTGACTATTTTGGTGAATAGCAGCTATGTTTTCACAACAAAAATAAACAGTATGAATAAAGAATTTTATATTTAGAGCAAAGATTTAACAAAAAAAGTTTAGAGTTTTTACAAGGTAAAATTAAATGCTACTCAAAGCAAAAAGAATAGTAATTAAGATTTGGAGGGATACAATACAAAGAATGTTTAAGTTTTTTGAGTTTAAAAGTTAGCTCTGCTGGGCGTGGTGGCGCATGCCTTTAATCCCAGCACTTGGGAGGCAGAGGCAGGCATATCTCTGTGAGTTCAAGGCCAGCCTGGTCTACATAGTGAGTTCCAGGACAGCTGGGGCTACAGGGAGACCCTGTCTCAAAAAGACAATAATAATAATAAAAAAAGTTAGCTCTATTTCAAAGGGTGTGATATGCCAGTAACACATAAATATACATAGATTTAAGGGACTTTGAAGTAAGTGATGACATATTAATCTCTAGGAAGCATAATCTTTGATTCCTACTTTTGACAACCTTCAGGAGAGGATCTAAGAGTTCTTGTCACAGAAACACAGAAAAGATTAAGTGGTTCTTACTGTGTAGTAAGTACCTCACAGTGCTTCCTGGAAAGAAAACCTGATCTAATACCAAGGGACATAATGTTGTAGACATAATGGATATTCAAATGACAGCAAGGTTGAAAATGTCACTGAGTTCAGTGTGCAGCTTGCTTAGGTTTGTCCCTTCAAAGACACAACTGAAGAAGTCCCATCATCCCAAAAGATTTTACAGCATTATTTCCAACAGCCACAGAACAAACGTCAGGCAGAGAAAGCAAATACCACAGGGGCTCGCTCTTATGTGAGAGTAGAAATACTAGAGAGACTGGAGAGAGGGCAAGGAAGAGGGGGCCAAAGGGCGGTCAGTGGGGAGTAAACCACATTGGAGAGGACTGGAAACCTCCAGGCGCCGTTATTCCACAGCAGGGGTATTCCAGAATATGGTACCCTGTTCTATATTCAAAGAAGATAAAAAGGGGGTGTTGAGTATTTCCACTGAAAGAAATTAAACATTTGAGGAGTTAGATATACTTTTAATAAATTTGACATGATACATTCATTATACAATCTATACTTGCATTTAAATATCAAATGGTATCCCATAAATGTACAAAACTTCTTATGTATCAATTAAAGACAAATTTTAAAGATAGTGATTTTAATAGGAAAAATGTTCTTAAAACTCAATGTGCTTTTCTACTGTTCTTTATCCCACATTCCTATGCATGCTAAAAAAGATTAGTTACTCATAAATGTAATAATCAATGAATTAATCTTCAATCGGGATATTAACGAATATATATTTTACTAGAACAGTCAAGAACAATTATTCACTATAACCCATTTCTGACTGAGAAATAAATTCAATACTATGGGAGTG